ATCAGCAGAGAAACCCAGAAAGTATCCATGGCACTAGAAAGGCAAACAGTGGTGGAGGAGCACGCAGCCCTGTGTCCTTGCCTTCCAAGTTTCCTGAAACCTTATGCCATTAACCATTCTGATGCATTCAGTCAGTCCTTCCCCTTCCAGGCCACTGGTTCTTTTTAAAATATACGTAAGAATCTTCATTTACCTAAAAATCCAACCAAAAACATCCCCTGAGACCTATCACTGCACCCCAGATCCTGCCAGCTCTGCTTTTTTATCGATACAGAATTGCCCTCACCCACAGAATCTGTTTTTGCTCTCAGTGCCACCAGGTTGGCGTCAGCCCACTAGCAAAATTCCTCTCACTGTGCTCACCTGGATGACTTCCCCATCACCCCAGCTAATGGCCCTTCCCAGTCTCCATCCCGAGTGATTCTGTGGAAGCGTTCTGTGTCAGTTCTCTTGACTCCAGAGATTTTTCTCCTCTGCTGGCCCCTTCCCTGTGCCCTGTCAGGCTCCGCTTTCTCTATCTGACCATTGACGCCTTCCTCGAGGTTCCAGTTCAAGTCTCTTTCTCAGTCTCTGTTCTTAAATGACTTCCCACACTCACGGCTCCCTTTTTACAGATGATAACTCTGGGTTATACAGAGCAGCAAATGCACACACACTTCAACACACACTGTATGTACATGGATACACAGTACACTTGTGAATTTCCCTCTATACGTATATATCTGGTACATGTACAATGTGCATATATAATATATGGATGCACATATACACATACATATGTGCACACAGATATTAGGTAGATAATATATTTGTATACATGTGAGCCCAGATATTAGGTAGATTGACATGTATATATTTGAGGGTAAGGAGGTAAGTTGGTAAATCATTAAATTAGCAGATGTGCTAGATTTTTCTTCTGGAACTTCAGACCCATACATTTGCTTCTCATGAATAACTAAAAGTCATTATGCATTTGAAAATGTCATTAATTTTGCTCCAACCTATCTTGATTCTTTTTTTTGGGGGGGGCGGAACATTGTCATTTTATTGTTTAATTGATTAATTTATTTATTTATTAGTGAGACCACATGAAGTACAGCAACCTATCTTGATTCTTTTCCAATGTTTCATATGTGTGAGTAGCTCTTCCAACTAGTTCTGGAAGGCCAAGAGCAAGGCCCCATTAGCTCACTTCTCTTTGCTTCTATGTCTAGCTCATCAGTTCCTTGTTTTCACCATCTAAGTATCTTCCTAATTTATTTCGCTCTTCAGCACCCACCCTCCCCCCATTTCTTAGCCACCTCCATCTTTGATCTGGACAAAGGCAGTAATCTTTGCTTACAATTTCTCGGCATTTGGGGTTGATTTCAAACAGTTGAAAGAAATGATCTTCTGAAATTCTCATCTTAGTCATGTGATGCTATTGCTCAGATCCCTGTAGTGTTTTTTTTTACTTCATCTGTATGAAACACAAGTGACTTTAGAACATCCTCAAAGAGTCTATGTGATGTGTTTCCTTGCCCTGAAGACTCATCTCTGTAATACCCTCCCTTATTCTTTCTGCTCTAGGAATACAAATGTCTTCCCTAGTTACTCACCATTATCATTGCCATTTTGTCCTGCCATAGAACCTTTATATATGCCACCAAGGCTCACACATCCTCAAGGCTTGTGTTAAGTACCACCTTTCTCAGGGCAGCCTCCCCTAACTTCCCCTACAATCAGTCCCCCACCTTTGTATTCTTGGAGCAGTAGAAAGATCCCCTTTTCTTCCAACAAAACTTTGCATTTGTTTGTTCAGTTATATAATGATTTATCACTCTTCCCTACTTGTGTATAGCTCCAGGGGAACAAGGCATATATCTGGTTTATTGAGCTCCGATTTTCCACTGCCTATCATAGAGGCTAATATCTAGTCATTATTCGTTGCATATTTGTTCAATGAATGAATGAATAAGCAGCAACATCATATAAAAATGAAGGATTTTTTTTAAAAGTCTCTGTTTTTGCTTAGTAAAGATATACAATTGAGGAAAGAGAAGCCATTCAGCTGTAATAGAGAATAACTCCTTTATAGTGTACCAGGCACACATTTATATACTTGTTTAGGTGGATACAAGGAACGCTCATGGGTACTTTTGCTTAATTTTATTAACTCCTTAAAGAATTTTTATGCATATTTTATGCAAATTCATGTGTGGCAAGACTATTTTCAGTGATTCAATAAAATGTGAAATATGTCTCTCAAATTCCATTCTGTTTCTCCATTATCATATTTTAGTAATTTGCAGCTTGCATGGCTGGGCATATGATTAACGGGGCGGGAGGGGGGCAGGAATTGAATGAGATGTAATTAGCACCTCAAATGGGACTGCTTATTAATCTCTAATGTCACTTTAAGAGCATTAAATATACATATGACCTAGACAATACTGCTTTCCTTGTTACTTTCTGTATGGCGCACAGTTCTGAGTCTTAATCATAAAGGCATGAGAAGGGCCTTTCTTAGTTAAGATACTAGAGTCTTTTCATAATTGGGAAATGGACAAGTGCAATTTTGCTTCTGTACACTGAGATGGAAAAACAGATTGAGAATGGAGAAAACCCATTGCTACTCTTCTCAAATTTCTGAAAATGGTTTTGCTTTTCACATTGACTCTTTTGCCAGCTGACACCCCCAGAACTAACCCTTCCATGAGCAGGGAGGCCTGAACCATATTGAAATTTGACTCCTCGAGGCCTCACAGAAGTATCAACTAGACAGTCTAAACACTGAGTCTCCAGCTCTGGAGCAGCTCTGTGAGGTGAAGCTGTTCCCAGCAGGGTTCCTCGCAGAGGCAGTGCCTGAAGAGTTTAGCAGTGGGCAGCCAGTTGTCAGAGGTTTCTGTTGCCCCAGTGGAACCGGGCTGAGTGAACCGCACTAATCTGCTGTTCTTCCAGTTTTTGAGGGGAAACCAGAGAAGAACTGTGATGTTCCTGTGAAAACCCCAGAGTTTTAACTGTGGGTGATTATTAATTTTCAAAACTAAAGTTGAATCCTCCGCCCCTCTCGGAGAGCCCGGCAAGCTACCGAGAGTATTCGATATGCCAGACACAGTAACAACAAGGTCTCCAATGGAGACGTTACTGGGCCCGCTCGAGCAAATCGACGATCAACGGGAGGGCCTTTACCTTTTACCTTTAAAGTTGAATGGTTCACATGAAACACATCTCGGAGCTGATTTCTTGTCCTCTCACTAGATTGTGACCTCTGGTGCAAATGCTATATCCCAGCTCTCCATATCCTCCGTCAGTTTCTGCTTCATCTGTTCATCTTCATTCTTGCTGCCTTTTCAGCTGGTCTTGTATTGTGAATGGGCTTAACTCACATCTCTCCCCACAGCCACAGGAAGTCCAGTCTTTGGGGACTTAGCTCCTGCCCACGGTTCTCAGCCCACTCCCCCTGTCAGATGTGCACCACTTTCTTTTGCCTTCAGTTGTCCTAGGAGACTCAGTTTATATCCTTTGTGCGAAAGTCTGTCCCCAACTACTGCAGTTTTCTTTCATGGATGCTTGACACTTAATCCTATGTGTCATCGAGTTCTAGTATGAATGTCTTATCATCACAAGGTAAAGGTAAAGGTAAAGGCCCTCCCGCTGATCGTCGATTTGCTCGAGCGGGCCCAGTAACGTCTCCATTGGAGACTTTGTTGTTACTGTGTCTGGCATATCGAATACTCTCGGTAGCTTGCCGGGCTCTCCGAGAGGGGCGGAGGAATCGAACTCGGGTCGGCCATGTTGGCCGCTTGTAAGGCGAACGCCCTACCCGCTGTGCTATCGCTCCAGCTCAGCGTCACATCATCACAAATACAACCTTTTTTAGTTCACAGCTTGAATGTATGGGTTCATTTCAAAGCTTGGTCCATTGTCAGGTATGGGTGGGACTGGGGAGGAGTGTGAATTTCTCCCGATACATCTCTCTTCTTGAATGCCTCTAGCGAATGTTCACTGCCTTTCTCTGAGGCATCCAGGTTGGTCTTTGAGAGCTGCCTACTTTCAGAAAGTGTTTGTCTGCTTATTTACTTATTGAAACCCCATACACTCAACTCCCACTGGCCGTTTCATTATCCTTTGGCATATATTCTGAATTATTTTCTTTATTTTGCCTTTTATACGTTTTCTTTTTTTAAAAACAGGACCCAGATCAGTCTTTTTTGGGTGTCTTATGTGACACTATCTAAATTTTAACATGATGGAAAAGCATTATTTTCATTTGTGAAAAAAAAAGAGCCATATGTGTAAATAGTTTCTTTTCTGTCAAATTCTGATTGAAATATTAGTAATAGTTACCTGAGCTGGAGCGATAGCACAGCGGGTAGGGCGTTCGCCTTACAAGCGGCCAACATGGCCGACCCGAGTTCGATTCCTCCGCCCCTCTCGGAGAGCCCGGCAAGCTACCGAGAGTATTCGGTATGCCAGACACAGTAACAACAAAGTCTCCAATGGAGACGTTACTGGGCCCGCTCGAGCAAATCGACGATCAACGGGAGGGCCTTTACCTTTACCTTTAGTTACCTGAGCACTGCTAGTGTCACTGTTTTCTTCTGAAAGTGCTGTTCTTTGAGAAGTTTATTTTTCTTCACCTTACTAAACATTTCCTAAATTTGTGACTATACGTTTGGCTTGCTATCATATGTCTTTGGGAATTTGATTTCCTTTGTTTTCCTTCTACACAATCAAAAGTGTAATTACATATTAATATTTATATCTCCTAACATGTAGTGCTTAGATGTATCACTTTTGCCTCCAAGAACATGAGTATTGTGACAAGTGACTGTGAAAATAAAGGTATTCACAGATAGAAATTTGACTTACATGAGCAGGCTTCTGGCACTGAAGCTTTTTTTTTTATCATTATTTTAGAGTGCCCTGGAAATTCCTTTTGAGCTGCAAGAATGACATGTTCTGTTGCCACGGACAGTCATTGCATTAAACTCATTAGTATTTCTGTGTGTTCTTAGGTGCTGTGATACTTTTGGGAAGAACCAATATGTTCCGCTTCAACCACCCAAAGGAGGCAGCCAAACTCAGGGAGAAGAGGAAGGTGAGAAGCAGGGACTCAGATCCCCGGAACAGGTGGAGCTGGGCTGGGGTCTCCACTGTTTTCAGTAGTCTGAATGTGTGGGCCGGAAAAGCATTTGAAGAGTCACTTTGCTATTAAGAAGTTTGTATCTCAGCAGATGGTTGGCTGATCAAGTAGGAAAGTATATCAACTCCAAAGTAAACGGGCAGAGTGGCTCTTTATAGACCTTTCTCTTCAGTTCCACACCCCCAAAATAGAGCTGGGTGCAATTCTGCATTACGTGGAGAGTGACTTCTCTTATATGGATTTCTTTTAGGAGTTAACCCAATTTTCTCACTTTTAATTTTCAGCCACAAACAAATTAGACTTTGGGTTGGGGTATGAGGCAGACAAGGGTTAGACTGGGACTGTTGAGAGAGAGTTGGCCTGGGCCCCGGGATGGCTGGAAGGTACTGTCCATGCTGAGTGGGGGATGTAGGCAGAAGCTGAGAAGAAGGGGTGAGAAGGAATTGAGAAAGCTGTCCAGGGACATTATGCTTTCAAAAATAATAGAGTGTAGCTAGCATTGCTGTGAGCTGGGCACAGTGGGGAACTTTTACATAGTTTACCACTTGATTGCTTGCACAGCACTCGTCACTACCCTCAGATGCCTGAGAGGAGAAACTGCGGTGAGCTCCAGGGCTAGCAAGTGGGTCAGCAGGGCTGCAGCGCTGATGTACCAGCCCTGAATGGTTTGCCCAGCACTGAATCACACAGCTCCATCCCTGACCAGTTTCCATGCGGGAGGCTCAGGCTGCCGAGAAGGAATATGAGGGACGGCAATAAGCCCAGCCCTTAGCGAGGGCCATGGCTCCCAGCCAGGGATGCACTTATCTGTTCCAGTCCAGGGGCTCCCTGGGGAACCTTTCTGGGTACACCGATGGAGAGGAAACCAGGGAAGAAAATTTGCTTGCTAATAGCTTTCCGTGGAGACCAACAGGCCAAGGTTTTGTTTGCACTTTTCCCCCTCACCTCTCCCTCCATCAGGGTTTCCTCAGATATGTACGTGATTGCTGCCGCTAAAGGGCCCAGCCCCTGCCAGGGAGTAGTGGGTTACACAGATGTCAGACCCCTTCCTACAACTTCAGTCAGGTCTGGTCAAGGGAGAACAGGAAGTGTTCCGAGCCTGAGCGTGCTCAGCCTTTCCGTAGTCAGCTGAGACTTCACTTCGGGATGGCTCTGCACCCCGACTGCTGCTCTTCAGAGAGACCGCAGTCCTTTGCAGGAGTGTCGGGCCTGGACACATAGAGAGCACTTCTCTTATCCACTACATTAACTGCTCTGCTCTTTGTCTAATCTTAGAGTGGCCTTCTGTCCTCCTTCAGTCTGTCCATGACTGACCTCTCCAAGTCCTGTGAGAACCTGTCCACGGTCATGCTGTACAACCCTGGGTGAGTGAACTGCAATAGCTTCTTCCCTTTGCTGATGATCCCTGTTATGGTGTTTATTGTGTAACGCCATTAAATTCTCTAGATAAAAATAAAACATTGACAATCTTGAATCCCTATCAAATCATCCCCAGCTACTTTTTCAGCCCTTGCTATATATGTACATAATTTTCCTTAGTTATAATCACAACGTAAATGAGATTGCATATTCTGATTTTTTTTTGCTTAACAGCATAATAAGCATTAGTAAAGGTTGTTAAAACCTCATTATCATCTTCATAACTGTCTAATATTTTCTGGTTGGCATTTTGATTACTCAGTGCTTGATCTCATTGGCTCAAGTGTTTCCGTCTTGCTTTATACATTTATTGTAATAACAGAGATAGCTTTATTATCAAAGAGTTCAAGAAATCATGCTCACTACTTCCAAGTACAAGGGGACTTGTAGGGACACAAACGGTGGTGTTTTCAGTGAACTGTGTGGCTGGGTGACCTTGAGTCAGATTGAGTAGCTCAGGGTCTGTGTGCTTTAATCAGGTCAAAACTGAAATGCTAAAGGCCCAGAACTAATTGAAAAGATTTGGGGATTCTTTTCATTTTTGTCTAGTTTCATAATCTTATTTTTCCTCCAAGGAAAAACGTATATAAAATACTGAGTATATACATCATGCACTGTAGCACTGTCCTCCTGTTGTTGTTCATCAATTTGTTCGAGCAGGCCCAGTAACTTCTCCATTGTGAGACTTGTTGTTACTGTGTTTGGCATATTGAATACATCACGGGTAGCTTGCTAGGCTTTGCCGTGCAGGCAGGATACTCTCGGTAGCTTGCCAGGCTCTCTGAGAGGGGTGGAGGCATTGAACTTGCTCAACTGGGCCGGCTCTGCACAAGGCAAACGCCCTACCACTGTGCTATCGCTCCAGCCCATCTACGTTATAACCGAGTAAAATATAACAAATAAACAACATCTTCTTAATTTGACACATATTTAATAGTTATTCTATGCCAGGAACTATGCTGAGTATCTTGCATCTGTGATAGCTTTTAATTGTTATAGCAAGTGGCCTTATAGCCATTGCATGGAGAGAGCTTTTGGATGTGGTTGGTGCTCATTCGTGCTTTATGGTTAGAGCAACAGACATGAGCCCAGGTCTCTCATTCTCTGCCAGTGCTCAAACCTCATTGCTCCTGGTCTTTCTCCAGCTGGGGGTGCTAGTTCAACTTGCAAGTTGGCTTTCTTAGCGTAGGACCGTCTGCAACTCAGTGTCTCTGACCTAAGACCCCTGTGGCATTTTCTCCTTCATCCTAAGTGAGTGCTCAGGTTCCTTCAAAGGGTTTCTTCAATATCAGAGGAGTTTTAAAACTTTTATGATGTTTTTACTATGTTTTGTTGTTTTTCTGATTTTGGGCTACACCTGGCAATGCTCAGGGAATGCTCAGGGCTTCCTTGTAATTCTGTGCCCAGAGATATCCACTCTTGTTGGGCTTAGGGACCATGTAGGATGCTGGGATTGAACCCAGGTCAGCCATGCAGGACCAATTGCCCTTCCCATTGAACTATCACTCTGGCTTCTAGATTCTTCAGTTTTTAGGTGACCCAGCCAAAGGCCAGATCTGATACTTTGTATGAGGGGGCAAAAAAACCCAGGGCTGAAGAAATAGTGGGTGAGGCACTTGCTGTGACTCCTCTCTGATTCCTATATGATCCCCTGAGTACTGCCAGGAGTGTACCCTGAGCACAGAGCCAGGGCTAAGTCCTGAGCACTTTGTTCCTTTAAAAAAAAGTGGATTTCTAATCTCAGAAATCTACAAACAGTCAATGTGGATGAGAATTAAACTGATTACATAATAATTACCATTTTTTTTCTTTAAATAGTAGATTTCCAGGGTGATGCTGAGTGTTTTGTTTTTTTTCCTGACAAAGGGTTAGTTGATGAATAAGTTTGGAACTTCTGATCCATACCATACAACCTTTCTATACTTTTAAAGAGTTATTGAGTAGTGTTGTGCTCATTAAATTAATTTGTTTTGTAGGGGATTGGAGAGATAGTACAAAGGGTAGGGTGCTTAACTTGCTTGTGGCTGACCCATGTTTGACCCCCAGCATCACATATGGTCCTTCAAGCCGTGCTCGGAGCGATTCCTTAATGAGAGCCAGGAGTAACCTGTGAGCATCATAAGTGTAGCCAAAAGCCAAAAAAAAAGGTTGTTTTAGAATAATTCATAGTAATATGACCCCTAAAATGTGCATACTCTTTCAAAAGATCCCTCGATGTCTAGTACTTTGAAAGTCATGTTTTGTGTAGGTGTTTAATTCCTTATAATAGTTTTGGACCCTTCTTAAAAATTATTATTGAGATTTAAACATTTATAGACTCATAGTCTTACACTTAATGTGCAGATCATTGAGATTTACTTCAGTTTCAATAGTGAGATTTCGTCTGTTCAGTACAGTTCTGGGGTGCTTTTTTTGCTTTATCTCTGAGCTCAGGACCCAGCTCCTGTCCTGGAATCTCGATAACCAGTTTCCTTATCTGCAGTGATGCACCCTCCACTTTGAAACCATTATTTGTCTGGTCACCACCTTTGAACACCATGTGTAGCGTGAGCCTTTTGTCTGAGACCCAAGGCCATCAGCCACGGGCTCTCATTTCCTTGCATTTAAAGCTAGGATTTGATTCCTTAGAGGAAGACACGTAGTTCTCTTTAGGCTGATGCCATTTTTTGTTGTTTGCTCGCTTTTAAGTTAAAATAGTTGTTCTCGGTCTTCACAGCAAACAGATTAGAGTGTGCTCATTTTTATCTTTCTCACTGTTTTGGTCACTTTCATGATCAAATAAATAAAGCTCCAGGGCCGTGGCCTTTCACCCGGCTCCCCGTGTTGTGCTACCTTCTCTCTGCAGGAGCCCTTGTTCAGTCGTGATGCTTCACCTTCCTCGACCAGTCAGACCTTTAGGGCTTTTTCTTTGCTGGCTCCAGAACCTGGCACATGTTTAGAGATGCTGCCCAGTTGTCCTCCAGAATGTAGTATGCAGGATGTCTGTGTGGAAAGTGTTCCCAGTATCCTTGCCCTTAGTCAGAAATATCTGTGCACCCAAAGTGAGCACATCCTTCAGTCAAATAAAGACCCCTTGGGCCAGAGTGATAGCACAGTGCATAAGGCACTTGCCTTGCAGGCAGCTGACCTGGGCTCTATCCACAACACCACATTTAGTCCCTTTAGCATCCCCAGGAGTGATTCCTAGCATAACTGGATGTGCCCCCCTAAAACAGAGCAAAAAGACCCCTGCTTCATTTCTGTCACCCAGCTTTTTGTCATTCTTTTCTGGAGTGGACACTCAGCTCTCAGAAAGCCCTTTCTGAGTGCCTACTTCAGAAAAGACTCTTTTCTAGGACAGGGGCATAGTGCAAACTGTAGCAACACAGCCCGTTCAGGGGAGGAGAGAAACAGTCACAGGTAGTTTTACAAATAACGGCAGAAAGTGAAGTAAGATAAAACTGAAATTCCTGTGTCTTGGGCAGTAATTGATGGTAGGATCAGGGAAGGCTTCCTGTGGAGGAGACATTCCGTGTAAGATGGTGATGGGACAGTGACTCCACTGCAGGTAAAGGAGGAGGAGAGAGTTTTCTAAGCACAGGGGAAAGCAAGTGCAGTGGCGTTATGGGGAGAAGTAGAATAAGGACCAGGTAGATGGAATGTGGTAAGTGGGGTTAGAATAAACAGGGACCAATCCATGGAGGGCCTTGTTGGTCAGTGGAAGGAGTTCGGTGCTTTCTCAGAGTGCTGGGAGACAGCTGGAGGGCTATGTAGGGGAGGAACCTGAAGATGTTCTTGGTACAAATTGTAGGATATTTGTCATATTTCTGCTGAGGAGTGCAGAATAGAACCAGGAGACCACTTAGAAAGCAAGTTTTCTTGTCCATGTGAACAGTGACAGTAGCTTTGGTCTAAGTGGTAAGCAGAGAGATGGAGCATTGTAACTCTTGGTGATTCCCAGATTCAGGGTTAAGTGGTTGGACAGCTAGTGTCCCCTTTCCTGAGCCAGGGACAGAACTACTGGGTGAGTAGGACTTCACCCTGTGCGCATGCATGTGACTAGACATTGTCTGACATCTGAGACTTTGTCTTCTTAAACTTATTGGGTGTTTTAAAGTCATTCATATAACAATTTGAAACACCTGTAATTACAAATAGACCAAGAGTAAAATGTTAGGTGTGGGAAGTTGTTCAAAGGGCTAGAGCACATGCTTTGCCAGTGGTAGCCCCACGTTTGATTCCTGGCACCTCTTGGTTCCCTGAGCACTGCCAGAAACAACCACTGAGCATTGAGCTGGGAGTATATCCTGTACCATGCATATCCCTACCCCCCCCCAAAAAAACAATAAGAAAGGAATTTTGATAAGACACTGAATCCTTTGGGAAGGGCTTTTCATTAATTTTTCTTATTGCAAATGACCATTGTGTTATGCATTGAAATATGATTTTGTGGAAAGGGTCACTATGGTGGTTGGAATGTTCTCAAGGCCATGCTTAAGGTCATCAGGAAAAATCTGGGAAGGGAGTTGGGCACAAAAGGAAGAATGAGACCAAGGCATTCAGAGTATTCCAATGAGAAAGAGTCTGCTTTAGACTGGATTATGATTGGTTGAGTAGACAGTTCTGGGTACCTCTGATCCTACGTTGTACATCCCACTGACTTCTCCACAGCTAACAGAAACATTCTGTTTGTGCTTCCCCAGCAATACCCAATTTGTAAAAATTCAGATTATTTATAATACTGTTATACTTCATGATACCTTCTTTCTTTCTGATTTCTGGCCCCCCTCAATTTGTCACCTGCTATAGAGCATAAGTGCCCATGAAATAAAATATAATCAAAGAAAAATTGCCTGCTTGAATTTAGTTGAAGCAGCTTGTGAAGTTGCCTGCTCTGGTAACTCAGCAAAATGAAGCAGAATTAAAATTGGTACCTGTGTAAATACTCTCAGTCTAAGTGAAAAGT